ATCTTAAGACTTAATAAAAAAATCTGATATTTTGCTTATGAAAGCCTTGGAATGTTTACTGATAATCTGCCAAACTTCATGAACATACACTTACTAGTTTAAAAGTTATAGCATGAAAACTACAACAAGCACAAAATGGTAATGAGGTTAGTCCCAGTGATGAACAGTAGTTGGGATAACTTTTGAAATTACTGAGTTTGTGAAGTTAGTGTTTTTAGTAATTTCTTCAAACAGTTGCATCAATTTTAAACATGCTTCCAATAATGACAATTTATTATTGCTGAGGATGGTAGTGATGTTATCAGCAGCATACAGGAAAATTGGTCTCTTTTATCCAAAATTCTTTCAAGGATATTTGTTTAATTCCTTCTTGTTCGAGTTTTTTTTCAAGCATATTTAAACCATTTTCTATATCCAATAATTTTGAAGCTACTAGAGACAAATGGTTGAAACGAGTGACAGTCTTTCTACTAACTGTTATGAGTTCAATGGGATTTCAGAGCATTCATGTACAAGTTCTAATGTGTTAAGGATATACTACTGCCAATTCAATATTATTTTCTAAGTGTTGAATATTTTTATTTTCCATGTATTCATTTGATCAACTAACATCTTCCTTATTTTATTATCAGTATTACTTCTGGGAAAATGTTTGACATTAAAATTTAAAAGTTATAATTTTCCTACACTGAAAATGAATTTCTGATACGGTACACTACCTCCTCTCACATAAATAGCTATTCTTGTTCAGTGCTGCCCTATATATGCAAATTTTGTTTTTCACAGGCTACAAGCCTTCTCTCTCCCCTCCATTGGAATTGACTGATTTCAATGCGTCTCTCATGCAAATCATCACGTGTCAACTCTCCATCAATAAGAGTGTGACATACTCTCATGGCACATGTGACTCACTCTGTTCCTTTCCTTCTAACTATCGCTTCAAGTTTTTGCAGAAAATGGAAGCACCAGTTTTTAGTGGGGAGGAAGGGTGAGTGGAGGTAAGTACCTATCGGAAGTATATTTTCAGTGTAGGAAAATTATAACTTCTGATATGGTACATTACCTCCTCTCACATAAATAGCTGGAATCCTACACTGAATAGGTGGAGGAACTGGTGTCAGAGAAAGAAAGAAGCATCCTTTGAAAGTGTTCGAAAGACACTCCCTAAGTTGAGACAGTCAGATTCGAAGATATGACGTGGGGACCCTACCACTTCTGAACCAGGTATACTCTTCACTCATTGTAGAAAGTTGTTGCATATATGGGCGGAAAATAGAGGAGCACATCCAAGTGGGAGAGGACTATGGCCAGAAAGTGATCTGAACCATGCAATAGTCACGAAACTCAATCCTAGAAAGTATAAAAGTGGGTAAAATGAAAAGGATGTGCCCCTAGGTGTAAAGTGGCAAGGGCATGATGGACCGTACACAGCAAGTCAACTACATCCAAAATCCATGCTGCTGGGTACCGACATCCATGTGGGGGTAGGAAAGAGGATCATACTGGTGGCAAGTCAACTACAATCCAAAACTCAACAATCTGGTTCATACCATCTTCACCTCAAGTTCATGAGACCGGAGAGAATCTAGTACACCTCAACTCATGAATGGGGTACATGTGAATATGATAAATTGATAGATCGATCTGACATCCAGTATCAAAAAGTTTCCTACATAACGTAAAACATCTTGCTCAAATGCAAAATTGATTGGAACCATCCCAAGTGTAATAACAACCTCGGAATAAGAAACACTGAGGGATAGCGGAAGGGAAAGAACTGTAACAATCTGCAATTACCTCCACCATGACCCACAGATCTGATGGAGTATAAAAGAGGGAGGAATACAGACATCTGTAATACATGTGAGAGGATTTATGTTGAATGATTCTACTCTAAATCCAAAACCCGGCCACTGGGAACCAACATCTACATGGGGGTAGGATGAGGGATCCCAATCAAAGGGGTGAACTGCAATTTGACATCTCACTCTCATTTGTTTTCTGCTTCATAGTGGAGGACATTACTGCCCTACTCTCAACTAAATGGTTTTATAATCATTTCTATACTTTGTTTGTATTAACACATTCAGGAGGATGTCTCCATGGTCCACCACCCCAGTGGCTTGGAACTGGAAAGTGGTAAGGACTCTCAAACTTCACAAGAAGAAAAGGAGGGGTGGGGGAGAATAAAATGCAATGGAGAGTCCAGAGGAATG